CACCCAAAAATGAAAATTAGCCTGTGTTTTACTTACCCTTGCCTCAAAGCATCCTAGGTGTATGCGACATTCTTCTTTTAGACTAATCCAATCTGAGTTATATTAAAAATTGTCCTGGCCCCTCCAAGCCTTTCAATGGGGGTAAGCGGGTGTTGGTTGTCAACAGTTCAGAAGATGTGAAATAAAGTGTGTGCATCCGTAATAAAACGTCCCTCACACGGCTCCGGGGGGTGAATAAAGGCCTCTTGTAGCGAATCCATGCATTTTTGTAAGATAAATATCCATATTTCAAACGTAATAAACACTTTTTTTCACTTCCGCTGACTGTCATACGTGGAAGACGTTCCGGCGGATGACGCAAGACGTATGCGTCGTGTGCACGCCTCTGAGAAATGCAGGAGCAAAGGAAACAAAGTTTCCTTACTTTAGCAAAGGAAAACCAGTCTCCTCTTGGCTTATATTGAAATCCTCCGACATTTTTCTTTACAAATCCTCGTTTTGTGCTTCTAATTTGTGACCGACGTTTTGTTTTGTCTCCGCGCTCGTCACTAATCACGCAACGCCAACGTATTACGTCATCCGCCTGGACGGCTTCCGCGTATAACAGATGGTGGAAGTGACAGAAAAGTGTTTATTACGTTTGAAATATGGATATTTATCTTACAAAAACGCATGGATTCGTTACAGGCCTTTATTCACCCCCCGAGCCGTGTGAGGGACGTTTTATTACGGATGCGCGCACTTTATTTCACGTCTTCTGAACTGTTGACAACCAACACCCGCTTAGCCCCATTGAAAGGCTTGGAGGGGCCAGGACAATTTTTAATATAACTCAGATTGGATTAGTCTAAAAGAAGAATGTCGCATACACCTAGGATGCTTTGAGGCAAGGGTAAGTAAAACACAGGCTAATTTTCATTTTTGGGTGCAATAACCCTTTAAGTCTATTGCACATATAGATAAATATACATACATTTACATTTGAAATATGGATATTTATCTTACAAAAACGCATGGATTCGTTACAGGCTTTTATTCACCCCCCGAGACGTGTGAGGGACGTTTTATTACGGATGCGCGCACTTTATTTCACGTCTTCTGAACTGTTGACAACCAACACCCGCTTAGCCCCATTGAAAGGCTTGGAGGGGCCAGGACAATTTTTAATATAACTCCGATTGGATTCGTCTGAAAGAAGAACGTCACATACACCTAGGATGCTTTGAGGGTGAGTAAAACACAGGCTAATTTTCATTTCTGGGTGAACTAACCCTTTAATATTAAACATGTTTTAATGATATTTTTATTGTGTAATCTTATCCCAACCTTAATCTCTATTCTCAAGAGCTATATCAGAGAGATAGTTTCCAAAAGACACCGGCACTCCCACAATGCAGCTGGTACCTGTAGAGATTTGGGCTCTGCCAGTCTGCCACTCTTAGTGCTGCCAGCGCCCATGTTGATGGCTGTGGATAAAGATGACCGACGACTGCGAGCTGATGATGGTCTGGATGATGAGCGACTGTCTGTCATATGCAAAAATAGAAACTACAAGCTAAAACTATTTGAATGTGGATCTTCATTACAACAGCTGCATCACTAAGCGATCCAAAAAAGAAAATGAACAATGTAGATAAAGAAAAAAACTGCACATTTTAAAACAATGTTTAAAGTTGAACACCACAAACAAAAGAAAATCTCCACTAGTCCTGCATGTACTCATAATAATGACAAATGGTTGCCTTAATCAAAAGGTTTTAAAAGCTCCTCCCTATACAAACCCTCTATTGAGTTCACATTATGGCACAAATCCAAATTATTTTTCATCACACATGAGGGGAGATCAATAGCTTAATCATTAGTTACTATATAATAGACTGCAGTGTGAGGAATGGAAATAGAATTGTGTGTTTGTTTGTTTGCTTTTGTGTACATTATTTGCCTGTGAAGCAGAGCTGGCTGAACCCGACCCAACCAATACTGTCACATTTTAAAGGAATAGTTCATCAAAAAAAAAAAAACAGAAAGAGAAAGAAAGAGAAAAATGCCAAAAATGTACCCAGCCTCAGGTCATCCAAGACGTAGATAAGTTTGTTTCTTTATCGGAAATGATTTATAGAAATTAAGCATTCCATCACATTATTACGGACTTGTATTGTCCAGAAGTGATGGTTTAAAGTTAAAAGGCTTTATAGATGGATTTGTTTATTACAAACATGCAGCCTTTCTCTTCACACACCTTTAACTGATAGACTGGAGTCATGTGGATTATTGTGATGCTTTTATCACCTGTTTGGACTCTCATTCTGATAGCAACCATTCACTGCAGAGGATCCATTTGTCAGCAAGTGATGTAATGCTAAATTTCTCCAAATTTGTTCTGATGAAGAAACAAACTCATCTATATCCTGAATGGCCTGAGAGTGAGTAAATGTTCAGCAAATTTTCAATTTTGTGTGAACTACTCCTTTAAGACCAAACCCAACCTTAACTCTAATTTCCTCATTCCAAATTAAAGAGAGTGAAGGTAAAAGCATTCTGTTGCATAAGTTACTAACATTATACTATAATACATTGTGCTTTTATGTTTTGTGCTTCTGTGCAGACTAAGGTTGCCAACTGTCCCGCATATTGGGCTTAATTGATGTGTCCCTTTTATTGACTGCTACGCTGATCTAACCACTGACTGATGCAACAGCAGCAGTGCTGGTCACGACACTTGAGAACAATCACTGTCACCTGTCATCATTTAATTACAGCCACTGCCTCACGCAGTATATTTAGAGGAAGGCAGCCAAATCCTCTGCCGGCTGTATATATATACAGGTGCATCTCAATAAATTAGAATGTCGTGGAAAAGTTCATTTATTTCAGTAATTCAACTCAAATTGTGAAACTCGTGTATTAAATAAATTCAATGCGCACAGACTGAAGTAGTTTAAGTCTTTGGTTCTTTTAATTGTGATGATTTTGGCTCACATTTAACAAAAACCCACCAACTCACTATCTCAACAAATTAGAATACTCCATAAGACCAATAAAAAAAAACATTTTTAATGAATTGTTGGCCTTCTGGAAAGTATGCTCATTTACTGTACATGTACTCAATAACTTGGTAGGGTCTCCTTCTGCTTTAATTACTGCCTCAATTCGGCGTAGCATGGAGGTGATCAGTTTGTGGCACTACTGAGGTGGTATGGAAGCCCAGGTTTCTTTGACAGTGGCCTTCAGCTCGTGTGTGTGTGTGTATATATGTATGCATATGTACGTATGTATGTCCCTTATTCTGTCCCTTATAAATCACGATTGTCCCGTATTTTCCTTTTCTGAAGTTGGCAACCCTAGTGCAGACCCTGTATCATACCTTTCCTCTGTGTGGTTTCCGGCTCTGTTCTGGGCTGTGTCTCTGAAGCTGGACGCTCAGGTTGGAACTCTAGGCTCTGTGGGGAGTTGTCCATCTGGTTGCCAAAGTTCTGCCTCTTCAGTTTGGCATCAGCCTCAAGCTTCTCCAGTGCTGCGTTCTGACACTGTTCTACTGTAGACTCGAGAAGCCTGCAGAACTAAACAGCAGCCTGGTTAATTCAACTTACCTATTTCATACTATAATTTGTCTGTTTACATTACAAACCACCCTTTTTCAACCAAAACGTGTATTGCTGTTAAATGCTTGGAGATTGTACCTCTGCATAGTCTAACTTCCCATCTTTGTTGACATCTGCTAAGGAAAAGATTTCATCCACTTCCTTAGGTGACATTTTTTCACCAGACTAAAACAAACAAATCAAAATACAAATCTGAAATGATTATAACAGCAGGCAAACATGGTTGTAAAGAGAGAATGGAACAAATGGAACACATACAGAAGTAAGGATTCTGCTGAGCTCATCGTGAGAGATATATCCATCACAATTTGCATCAAATTTCTTGAAAATTTTCATAAGCTGGTCTGGTTCTGCTGCTTTTTCCTTCTTAAGTATCTCACAAAAATCATCAAAATTCAGCTTCTTGGTTCCTGGTGGCCAATATTTGTCTAAAGCTTTCTGTGATGGATTTCTACCTGCTTGCTGAAGAACTGAGAGACAAAACAACATAGATGGACAATCAAATATATTGGCTACTGATAATATTTGGCACTGACATTGGCTATCATTAAAAAATATTAATATATGATTAATATATTGAAATATTTAGAAATATAACTTTCACTAA